GTTGTTAGTTTTGTTGTTGTAGTTGTTATTTTGTTTCAGCTGTTATTTATGTAGTTGTAGTTGTTAGAGTCGTTATTTTTGTAGTATTTGTTATTGCTATTGTAGTTATAGTTGAGGCAGTGATTGTTATTAGTTATCGTTTTAGTTGTAGTTATTGTGATTGTAGCTGTTATTGTAGTTCTCATTCTTCATCATCTTATTCTTGTTACTGTCATGATATTTGTGATTTTGATCTTATTCTTATCGTTATCAATGTTATCATTATTCTTATTCTTGTTTATATTCAGCAGAAGTTTTCATTATTGTTATAATTTTCATCTCGAGTAAAAGTGATATCTTTATCTATCTATCTATACGTATATATATTTATGTATGTTTGTGTATATCTCTGTATCTATCTATATTTCTATCTATATGTGTGTATATATGTATATGTTTATGTGTATTTCTGTATCCATATATATATATATATATATATATATATATATATATATATATATATATGTATATATATATATATATATATATATATATATATATATATATATATATATATATATATATATGTATGTATGTATGTGTGTGTATATCTCTGCATCCATCCATATATCTATCTGTATGTGTATATTTATGTATGTTTGTGTAATTAATAAATAAACAAAAGGTTGAAACAAAAGCCAATCGCCCTACAGATTCAAAAAAGAACAGACGACTTGCGCACGGCAGCTGTTACTCTTGTGGACGAGGTTCTCCGCTTTTCTAAGGAAGGACTCGAAGCTCTAAGCCAGAGCTCTCTTCTCAGGACAAGCTTCCTTCGATCCCTGCACGAGGCCGCTGAAATCCTTTACGAAAATGTAAGGAAGTGATGTCTTGTCAAGCGCCATGTTGATTCACGTGTTCATCTCCTTTGGTTTTATATTTATTTGATTGCTACTATTTCTATGACTAATGTTATCAGTAGTATTACTAGCGGTAATATTAGTATTACCAATGTTATAATGAAGTCTTTATAAGTAAAATATAGAAATGAAAAAAAGAGTTTTAACCAGTTTTGACCGGCAGTTCCAACCCAACGTTTTGAAATTCAAGGTTTGACTACCGACTTTAACCGCCAAATTTAACCGCCATATTTAACCGCCATTTTCTCCCGGCAGGTGGACACAACATGGCGAAAAGGGCGCGCAGGCCTCGAAATGGAACTCGAGGGCGTGCAGAAAACTCTCTATCTCTTCGGTTTCAAAGTCCGGGAATATCTGGAACGCAAGAATTACCTCCTGAACGAGTAAGATCTTATTTATTTTCTCTCTCTCTCTCTCTCTCGCTTTCGCTCTCCTCCTTTCGTTTTTTTTTTTTTTTTTTTTCTTCGGTGCGTCTTTGTTCTTTTTTTATGTCTTTGTTCTTTAATTTCTATTTCTTCAACTAGTCTTTCGTGCATCCCCATTATTATTGCTGTTATTATTATTATTATTATAGTTATTGTTATTATCATTATGATTATTACTGTTATTACTCTCATCTCTCTCATCTCTCTCATCTCTCATCTCTCTCTCTCTCTCTCTCTCTCTCTCTCTCTCTCCTCTCTCTCTCTCTCTCTCTCTCTCTCTCTCTCTCTCTCTCTCCCTCCCTCCCTCCTCCCTCCCTCCCTCCCTCCCTCCCTCCCTCCTCCCTCTCTCTCCCTCTCCCTCTCCCTCTCCCTCTCCCTCATCCTCTCCGTCTCCCTCTCCCTCCCTCTCTCTCTCACCTCACTTCATCTCATCTCCCTCCCTCTCCCCTCCCTCCCTCCCTCCTCCCCTCCTCCCTCCTCCCTCCTCCCTCCTCCCTCCTCCCTCCTCTCCTCCCTCTCCCTCCTCCTCCCTCCCTCCCTCCCCCTCTCTCTCTCATCTCATCTCATCCCTCATTCTCTCTCTCTCTCTCCTACAGGATCCTCATCTACCAGCCTTACGAATACGGCAGGATACGCTACAGCCAGTTCCTTCCTGTTCCTTGGAGGAGTTTCTTGGATTCGCCTGATTGGTCCGCCCTCTCCAGGCTCTTCCTGAAGGTGAGGTGGGAGGAGGAGGAAGAAGGAGGGAGGGGGGAAGGGGGGAGAGGGGAGGATGGAGAGGGGGAGGGGGGGAAGGGGAAGGGGAAGGGGGAAGGAGGAGAGGAGGAGGAGAAGGAGGAGGAGGAGGAGAAGGAGGAGGAGGAGAAAGAGAAGGAGAAGGAAAAAAGAAGAAGACAAAGGAGAAGGAGAGGAGGAGAAGAGGAAAAGAAGAAGACAAAGGAGAAAAAAGAGATACAAAGAAATAGAAATAAAAAAGAAAATGAATAAACAAAATAATTGATACTCACCGCACATAGACGTGCATATCTGTGCAGTAATAATATTAGATATCAAATCTCATGTATTGTATTCATACACATCATTTCACTGACAATTTTACTTTGTTATTTAACGTTATTTAATGACGTTTAATGTCATGTAATATTGGTGAAAAAATATCTTGTTATTTAATGTTATTTAACGAAAAGTCCAATAGTATCTTATCTTGATTATCAAAAGTTAGTGTTATTTGGTAAAGTTTAATGTTATTTATCGAATTCTGGTGTTATTTAATGGTACTGAATGTAGTCTGATCTTAGTAACTGAAGTCTTATGTTATATAGTGGACTCTTTAATCTTCTTTAAGGAAATCGGACGTTATTTGCTGCAATCTAATGTCATTCCCTGCAATCTAATTCCCTCTGGCGCCGGCAGGAATCTCCCGCTGCCAAGGCTGAACGGCTCTTGGAACTGGGAATGCTGGAGCTGGATTCCGTCTGGCGTCCGCTGCCCCCGCCCGGAGTCCTCGTGCCCCTCAGAACGGCGCCCCGGTTCTTCACGGCCACCGCCACGGTCATGGGTAAGCCTCGTTTCCAGGGCGCCGTTCCCCTAGGGTGCCGAACCCTGGAGCGCGGTTCCTTCCGAGGGCCTGCGCTGCTGTTTGGTTTCTCGGTCTCTTGGTGTCGTCGTATTTTGTCAGTCTAAGGCCTTGTTATTTGTACTTGGATAGAAAGGTTATGTATTGTTAAATTCTCGCCATAACCTGTGCCTATTGCCCTACGTATTTCACAAGAAGACTCGATCTGAACGGCTATAATACCCTCCCTCTTCCCTCCCTTTCCCCCTTCCCCCTCCCCAATACCTTCCTTGCCCCCCCTCCCCCTCCCAGGTCAACACGTCACGACCTTCGACCTGCACCACTACGAGTTCCTGGGCCCCTGCTCCTACCTGCTCACCAAGGACTTCATCGACGGCGACTTCGAGGTGGTGGGCGTGTACGAGAGCGAGGCCGGCGAAGTCAGGCTGGAGTCGGTGCTGATCCGCGC